CATTAGCGCGGCCGCACGTAGTGGCACACGTGCACATGTGTAATCACAGACGGCGCGGACCGCGACGTACGTACGTACGTGTGAGAAGGCGAAACATACGGCTGCTTGTCATGGAAAGTGTACGTACATGTGGGTTAACCCATCAGCGGTGCGGTCGTGCGAACTCACGCGAATGCTATGCTCGCTCGTACACAGAAAGATCTAACGATTATTATTTTCGATAATAACTTCCGGCAATTGCGCATAATTAAGAGCAGAAGGCGCGACACCGCGGATACTAATTACTTTGTATTTATGAGTCTTCGTTAGCTGCTAGAATTTGTTTCCACAAATTAGTCTCAACGAGAAAGTACAATAAATAAACCTCGGGCGCACGAGGAAAAATAAATAAGTTTCGGAGAGCAGACAAGAGTTGGCACATTTTACTGTCTGAATGCCATTTTAGACTTTCTCGAAATGAAATGTGCACGCGAATCGGTTCGCCAAATGACGTAGCGCGCGCGTTCAACGCGCACCGACTTCTATTCATCTGCAGGAACGAAATTCATTGCAGTTAAAATCTGACTACGCCTTGGAGTGAATTTCATGCGGATGTAGATTTATGTTAAAACAATTAAGAAAATATTCTTGGATATTCGCTCTTGCTTTTCTCGCCGGGATTTATATAATAAATTGAGTATATTTTCAATGCTGAAATGTGTCTCACTCAAATTTTTACGAAACACTCGATTTTTACGAAACAAATACTTGGTCGGAAATGTAAGAATATCACGACAATTAATGTTAAAACATTAAGTTATAATAAATATACTGACTCTAATATAAAATGATATTTCAATTATAATGCTGATAGAAAGTTTTCCTATTATAATTAAATGCCTTTTTTTATACATTTAATCATAAAAATTGGGTCCGTTTAACTCGCAAAGTTATCTAAAAAAAAGGATCAATTTAAAGTAACTATGAAATAAAATATCGGAGTTCTATAAACGGTCTGCAAATTCTATAAGCGGTTTTCTCAAATACATTCATCCTTTCCATTTGTAAGTCTTTAAATTTAACTTGTTCGACCGAGCAAAAGAAAGTTATAATAGAAATCTAGACTATGATGAATTATATCGAACGATATTGAAAATAAATTGGTATACGCTAACAAAAATAGCGGGGAAATTAGGGAAATATTTACAGCGTAATCCAGAAAAAAATACATGAATAATACGAATAATAAAATACCCAATAGTTTTATCTCGGGCAAAGCTTATCTTGATAGAGGAGCAGCGGAAAAGTGACCGCGATTAGAACAAGCGGAGCGCGAAAATGGAACGCTTTTGTAATCCTTGTAAATATGACGCGCTTTACATTAATTTATGAACGAGGCGACCAGCCGAGTAACGTCAAGCCGAGGCGTCGTTACGATGATATACGCTTACTAGGGGTGTTATTTGGATTTCATTACATGCACCGACAAACGCCACCGCCCGCCCCTGGCTCACCCGCGTCGCGCAAATCGCGCGTCTCGACATGCTGAGCAATTCGGAGCGGAGCGCGCGAGATAACAACGCGACGCGCGGACAGTTCTTCTCGCGAAGGGGCAAAAACATAAATTCATTGAACTCGTCGCGCTGATTGATTTCAACGCGCCCGGAAATCTGTTAATCGGTCGCACCGCGCAATTTCCGCCACCGAGCGCGAGTCCGCAATTTTTCGGCGCGATAAATACTTGATGCTCGCGACGGCAGCCAATCGCGCCGATACGAAGGAAATACGGTCGGCTCGATTCACCGCCAGAAATTCAGCCGTTTAATTGCACGGATTTCCCCCCTTTTTTTCTGAACAGCTGCGGCGATCGGGATAGAGAGGTGGAAAAAGGCACGCGCCCGATCGCGCTGCGAGAGAGGGCTAAGGGTCGATATTTTTTATTGTCGCTTAAATCCCCTTATCAACGGCCGACAGACAACGAGATAAAAAGGGTATAAAGCCTCTCGGACTTAATGATAGCTGTCTGACGGTAGATTACTTTTACTACTGCCGCTCGTTCTCACCACCACGACTGGACGATCTTCTCGACTCCGGCGGTTTCCTTCAGACCGTCTGGCGATTCTAAAAAGCAGATGCAACCGCAGTTCCTTCTTCCTGTCTTTCTCTCTCTCTCTCTCTCTCTCTCTCTCTCCACTTCGCCCCTTCTTCCTCCCTCGTTTCCTTATACTTTTCTCTTTCCCGCCCCCACGTCTGCACTTTGTTCTTCTTATTGTGTACCTCATCTTTCTTTCTCGCCGTTACCGTATCTCTCGTTCTTATTCTTTCCGCATAATCCCGTCTCTCTCTATTTCTCCCTCACGCTCTCGCTCGCTCTCCGCGGACGCTATTGGGGTTTACGGTTACGGTTAAGTAGAGGGCAAAGAGATCGTATCGTTTTCCGAACGATTTGGCTAATCGAGTGCCGGTGGCTCGAGATCTCCCTTTCCGCCCGCCGATCCCTCGTCGCCGTTCGTGACTACGCGCGTCCAAAGTGATGCTGGGGTGAAACTCCATGGACGAGTATTTAAACCGCGATCTCGCAACCGGCACTTGGCAAAATCTGACGACCGGTCATTACCTTCGGAACGACAACGCTTATGGCTGCGCAACGGCGAGTTATGCATTTGGATCGGTTAACAAAAACGCGACGGTAATGTTAATGATAATATTAGTGATACGACATACATATGAAAGCAATCGAATACATATGCAAAGTTCATTCGCTCGTCCACCGTCGTGATTATCTATACAGGATAATAATTTAATTTTGTCACCAATATCCGTCGCATATATTTATTATATATTGGAAAATGATATATTTATCTTCGTGCATGTAAAGGATATATCGGAACATAAAATAATTAAATTGGATATTTGACATTTACGATTTATTTAATCATGAAAGCATTATCGGCATGTAGGAATTTGAAACCCGGATATCTGAGCTCGTAGCAACCTTCTCAACTGACAAAAATATAAATAAAAGATCCCCTACGCTTTCAAGACGAAAATCGCCCTCATTTATTTCGGAGGTACTTCGATTATCTGTGTAGACGTGACATTTTATCCTCTTCACACGAAATAAATGCGGCTTTAAATTAGATATCGCTGTATTTGCGATAAGAGAGTTTGTCTCTCCGACGGTTCGGCTTTTCATATCTCGTTTAACGGGGGAAATTATCCTTATCGTTTCGAATCGACGTATCAAATTGCCGCGCCACATTCGGTAAATGTTCGGGCTCGGTCAGCGCGCGATGTCCGGTCGGAGGGGAAAAAAAAACACCTCCTCCCCCGAATGAAGTGGAATCCGCTGGATCGAAAGTTAAACCAGTTCGGGCAGAACTTGGGCCGGAGCCCTTCTTCTCCCCCGCAATTGTAATAATAAGCGGACCGAACGTGGCGATTGCTTTCGATCGAGCGGCCAATCATCGGAAACCAATGTGGACGGTAACACGAAGAACGAGCCATTTTACCGCAACGGTATTTTAAGGAAGACCCAACGACGATGGAGAGAATGACGAGCAGGAGATTCGCCAAGCGAGATCTCCGTTTCGAAACGTTTCAAACGTTTCACCCGCAATTCACGGTTTTCCCGCAGATACGCGCACCCGTCTAAGCGATATTAAAATACGTCGCATTCGTGTTAATATGAGGAATGTAATTGACAGTCTCTGGCTATGCCGAACTATGCTCATATCAGGGTTAAAGTGCGACGCAATCCATTTTCGCGCGCATATCGACGCGCGCGAGTAGAATCCACACGAATTTAATTCTAAACTGCCGCGTTTAAACGCGGCCAATATTCCTGCGGAAAATTTGTCGATTTAGTTTCCATTTCTTTTTCTTTTTACCCTTCCTAATTTTCCCCACAAACTCCTCTACATATATCTGTATGGTGTGCGCGCGTATACCCGTAATTATATTTTCTTCATTAATTTCGTGATTATCTCAGGAAAAAGTATAGACATTTTCACCCTTTCGACCAGACGTATATCCCCCAGCACCGCCGGGGGCAAAGTTCGATCGCAATTATACGCGGTAAGACTGTTTCATAAACGCCAAATTGCACTTTCTGCCCGGGATAAGTCCCAGGTGGGAGACTACCCAAAGTTTACGAGATGAATGCAAACGCGCAATGTGTCTACTTTATAGTGCGTTTCTCCTTTCCTCCCGCCGCCCCGGTGGCCGTCCGCTCTCCTCCGCTCGATACATCCCCGCGGTCGACGTGCGAGAGGGAGACGGGGACTGAATGAGGGAGAGAGGGAGCGAGAGAGATGGCGAGCTAAAATAAAATTCTGCCTACGCCACTGTTTCGGATATTACAGCAGATATTTCAAACGAACGGGCACAATGGATCACCGCGCGTAACCCGCAGCGTAGCTCATCGGCGCATTTATAATTCAACCGCCTGAAGTGGCAATAATGGCGGGCGCTGCCGATACTTAATACCGCCAACGCTGAAACTCAACGCAGTAATGGAGTATATTATTTTATTTTACGATACGAGCGCGACGGCGCGTTCACTCGATCTCCAAGATATCGATATTGCGAGGCTTCCCGACGTGCGCTTCGATTTTAATAAATTCCGGCTTTGCCCGCGACGATACAGCGCCCGGAAAGCATCTCAGACCGCCCCGGTTTAATGTAGGCTGTGCCAGCTCCTTCTATCTTAATATCATCGATAATGTCCACGCGTAATTTAGCGCTCGGCTCTCCCTCGGGAAACGTATACCGGATAAATCGAAAAATCAGTTGAAAGATTGTTAGAAATTGTATTTTGGCGACTGGCAAAATAGAATTTATAGGAAACAGAAAGCCTGAATCAGCTGTCAATTTGATAGAAAATAGAATGGGTGTACAGGGGGTACAATAAATCGTTGCGGCGAGACTCTGCTCTATTTTTATCGAACGTTATAGCCGCGGCCTAGAAAGTTTCGACGGTTTCGCCTCTCTGTCCTGACAGTCATTTCCTTTTCTTTCAGGACGGTATCGGCTCGCTAAAAGTGGTGCCTGGGGGAATCGAGCTAAGAGGTCAAGCCGCCGTGTTAGACGCCCTCGTGGCCTCCAGCCTGAGATCTCGGAGGGGCAAAAACTTGGTGCTGGAGTCATGGAGTAATTTTACGGCCTCGGCGAGATCTCACGATGGTCGGCTCCTCGCGCGATTAACAGTCGGTAAGTTAAATTAATGGTCGCGTAGAGCAGCCTGCATTTTTCATATTACACCCGACGTCAAGAAGTAATTAGAAAATTCCCCAGGGAAGGAAATAAAATTAGACAAACGGCCTGATTTAAAGCTGTACACGTACGGCGGGAATCTAGTTTTGTGTGAGAAATATTCTAAATTCAATTTCACATATCTCGTATTTGAATTCGTTGCAGGGGAGGACCGCGTCGACTGTGTGTCCAGAGGTTTCCGAATAACCGATCCACGGGGAGGCGTGCTGTTCTCCGCGGACAGGGAACAGGTTATCGTGGGGGCGGAAATGTTAAGGGTGACCGGCGACGGTGGTGCCGTTTTTCAAGGCAGCGTGCAGACCCCGCTGGTCAGAGGCGAATCGGGACGCGGTCTCAAGTAAGTATATATTACCAATTTTAACAACGTACGGGATATTTAATCTTGCGCCATCGAGTAAGAGCGGCGAGATATGTGCATCTCCCCCGCGAACCTGTCCAATTATCCGATATTGTTACACGTTATCTACAAATAGACGATTTCTAGATACTGTTACCAAATATTATGCAATTATTTGCGATCATTAATATTCGTATCAGCAATTTCATTGAAATTCAATATAAATGCCCGTACATAATTATATCGTACAGCAAGTAGTAATTACGCGAGTGGAGTCAGACGGAATCGAATCATAAACCGCGTATGTTGCGGTGTTGAAATCGGGCAGTCGCGAAAACAATCGGCCTTCTTGGCAAATTCCGCGAGATACATCAAGTTTATAGGTCGAGGATAAAGCGCGTTTATATTTAGGAAGTAGCGCATCGGCAGATATGAACTAATAATAAAGACGCCCAAGTAAATGGGATCAATCGATCGTCCTCGTTCGATCGTACGACCGAGTAACGCCGCGGCTGTAGCGGCGTCTCGTTTCTTCGCGAGCCAAGTCGTTTCGAAAATGGCAAACTCCCTCCCATCGACACCCTCAATCATCACACCTTCGGCCCGAATAAGCTCGTACAATCCCTTAACCCTTCTGGCCCCGTTTTCATCCCCGTCTCTCACCGAGCACCTTCGGTGTATTACGGCGGAGAGATCGAAGTCTGCGAACGGCGGCGACGGCAGAGAAACGGGAGGGTAGGTCGGAAAGATAGCAAAGAGGGGGGGACAAAGCGGAGTTGTACCGCCGCACCGCGGTTATTGATAGCGCCGGGCAATTTACAGACGGATTTACGATTACAATAAAACTTTGCTCGCGCGGAAAATTATATTCATAGGATTGGATTTGCGCCAGATATGAAATACCGCGGATCCTACGAGTTCCCGAGGAGGTAGGATGAACGGAGACGGAGACCGGGGTACGGGATGGTGACTGTGTGTATGGGGAGGAGGGGAGCGAGGTGGCGGAGTAGAGCGGTAAAAGAGCAGCTTCGCGGAGAACGGGTGGCGGCGAACGAGCGCGTGGACCATCTCCTCCGATGGGAGAATCGATTATTGCTCGAGTTCGACTTCGGGCCGCGGGAGTCAATACAGATATTACTTTGTTGCTGGAATACTTGGATATAATGCGACGGTTTACGGGCACGCGGAGATTTACGGTGTAATCCGCGTCATTGTTGGAACTTAATGCACAGAAATTGAGGTACGCGAGGTTGATGCGGTCGCTCATCGGACAATGATCGCGGCTGTTATCGGCTAGCAGCCGTGTTTTATTTTAAATTGCGGACTTAAGGGGAAACGTTTTCTACAAGAACGTTGCGAACTTCCCTTAGAAAAATTTAGGAGACCCACGAGATATTTGTATCAACGTGAGAATATTATATACGTGTCGGAACTATTTTCCATATTCTTGATATATATTATTATATTTTTCAAGGCACCATAGTTACCTTTTTATATATAATAGAAAACTATTCTAATATCACTGAGACATGTTGTACAAATTCTTTTCTGAGAAAATCTGTACGAAAATCTCTTTTGTTCGGCGGCGAAACGTCAATTGAATTGCATGTCAGTTTCTTGTCGAATAATATCAAATTAAACTACCAATAAATATATAAACTACCAATAAATATACAAACTACCAAAAAACTACCAAAAAAATAGATGGGTTATAACAGATTAGGATAAAAATAATACATTGTAAGAATAAATATACTTGACAACCATCGCACTTTTTTACTTGATACTAATCAAGTATAGGTATGTATTAAGTGCGACAAATATTTTCTATTTCTCTTTTATTTACTTCATTTGTAATACTTAATTTGTAAAACACGTGCATATTCAAGATTCTCTGAATATTGCTTTCTTATTTTCATATTATGCACATAACACTTAATCCTGGATAAGAATAATGTAAGCCTCAAATACTAATATAGATATTATCTGTTTTAGTATTTAAGGGAAGGAAACCAAATTACATGCACATCGAGAAACAAATCAATACTCACAGTTTTTTTTGTACTTGTACACAAGTACTTTTTTCAGACTTTCTCGTCTGACTTGCGCGTCGTCAACAACGAACACCATGAAGAAAAGATAGCTACATGTAAAAATTTTGTATTTCTGTAAAATTATCAACACTTTGTAATTATTGCTTTATGTAATTGCTTTCTGCTTCCTTTTATTTCTTGTTATTTTATTTAAGCAGTCAAATGATTCAATATAATTCAATTATAATAATTCAAATACAAACGTAAACGCCATTTAGGTCCTGGGCAGCTGGAGGTAGCCAATTAAATTAATATGTGAATTCATATACCATATTTTTTCCAACCTGTCCTGCGCGCCGTTACTTCCGGACATATAACGCGTGTTTTTCGTTAGGTGCAATCATTATCATCTGTGAATTCACGTGTTATGAAATCGCTCAACGACTTTTCTAATTATTTTTAAATGCTATACTTAGCATTCATTACGATAACCCCCCTCCCCTATTGAAATTAAAGTTCGTATTGCGAAAATATTCTCTGGCAGCCTCAATGGTCGTGTCGGTCAAGACGCCCGTCACGGATTGAGGGAGATCCCAGGTTCGAAGCCTTGCTGAGATAATATTTTTCGCAATAAGAACTTTAATTTCAATAGGGGAAGGGGGGTTATTGTAAAGAGTGCTAAGCATAGCATTTTAAAATAATTAGAAAAGTCGTTCGGCGATTTTATAACACGTGAATTCACAGGCGATAACGATTCTACCTAACGAAAAACCCGTGTTATATGTCCAGGTTGAAAAAAATACGGTATGTGAATTCACATATTAATTTAATTGGCTACCTCAAGCTGGCTAGGACCTAAATGGCGTTTACGTTTGTATTTGAGTTATATTTAAAAAAATTGGTCCGGATTCAACTTCAGCTGTTATAGTAATTCAATTCTAATACTTTTGATAATAAAATAAATATTCTAAGAACATTATTAATATATTTCATTTTCATGGTATTCGCCATTCCTGAAAATCCTCTCTGCTACAAATATTCTGCAAACTAATAAGAGCGATAGTGCTCTTGCTAAATTTTTCTTTCGCGAAAAATCTACCGTTGCTTATCTTTTACCGAGCGTTCTCCATTTGCGAAATACTTTCTCTTCCCGCTGTTATTCATATTTGCGAATTTCAAATATTTTTCACGATTGATAGAACTTGCAATATTATGTAATATATATTTTTAAATAAAACATTACGTATATTAATAACTGAATACGTTCTATTGAAACAAACGTTAACTAATATAACGAAGTAACATAACGAGATCTACCTCGTAATGTGTTCTGTATCGAATGCATTTTTGCATCCGAAATAAATCGATAACAATTTATATCCAGGATTCAACATCGATCTTAATCTGCTTAAACCCATCCATCTTAAAACAACGGATCTATGAAACGCCTTCTCGATAAATACATAAATCTAAGTTTAGATAATACTCGATAAATACATAAATCTAAATACATAAAGCATTAGATGCAACATACATATTTCGCACAAGTTTCATAGATCCGTCATTTCGATTTGAAATAAAAGACAATTCGTCACTTACAGGCACCGATGCGCAACGGCGGAGTTGTAGAGCTACGCTGATCTGTAACAAGACATTATCATTTATTAGACAAGCGTTCAAAGTAAATTAAATTAATATTTTAACAAGAAAATCGTTTTGAATATTTATTAAAATAAATATGCAACTTCCGTGAAAAGTTGCTTTTAATTATAGAATTGATACGAGATTGCAAATAAAAAATTCACTTCTTACATAAATATGAAATAAATATGAGAAATATAAGTAATGTCAAATTCGTTTTGACACCCAAAAAATTTTATAAAATATATCAAAGATTTTTCACGGGAATAAACGATAATTCCAGGTGAGAGAGAAAGAGAGAGAGGGATCAAATATAAAAATAAAATATTATTCACCTCAGGGTTGCTCCGCCGTCGCCTGATGCCACCCCGGGCCTCCTCCTCCTCTCAGAATCCTCTGCTGATCCAAGTCCCTCCTCAGCTTTCCACTTACACTCACACTCGCGCGAAGACACGCACTAAATTACGATCGCGCCCGAATTAATTGCCGGTGTGCTGCGGTCGCGATACTTTGCACGGCACTCCCGAAATTAGAGCTAATTGAGACGCGACGTCGCGCAATCCGGAAATGGCGCGAAACGAGCGGAGCGTTCGGTCTAGAGATCGCGCGGCAACTTCGCGTGACGTCACGGCGGCGGTGGCGGCGCCTACACCTGTTGCTCCCGGCGTCGAATCGGAAAACTGCCGCGACCGACGTACGACACATGCATTTCAGGCACGAGCGTAGCACGCACGACGAGCGGGACGAGACGGGAGTCGCGCGCGAGTCGAGAATGAGCGGCCGCGATATCCGGATACGCGATCGTCGCCGCGAAGGTTCTGGAAGGATCTGGAAGGATCCCCCCTCCCCCCCCCCGCGCGGTCGAGCGCGCCTCGCGCCACGCACGATTTCAGATGTCACCGGTCACGCGAGCTCGCGCCGCGTGAGATAACGAACACCGCGAACGAGAGCCCGTTCGTCGTCTACGTGAGCCTTCATTCGCACCGACACTCACCGAGTAAGCCCGCACACAGCACGGAGTCGATCCGTCACGCGTTCACGTCGCACCGCTGCCGGCCGGGAAGAAGGCAAGATGGCGGCGGCGACTACGCGAGTCAACATGGCGCCGGAGACCAGGCGAGTCGAGCTCACACCTGAGACGCGACACGGCCGTTTGAGAAGCAGAGGATCGACCGACGTTTTCACCCCCGCGTAAATCACGTCGAGTACGCGCGATATTAATGGACGGTCAAACACATCACTGGCTCTTCGCTGCTTTGAATCGGCGTCACCCGGCGACTCGTGATATCTCAATTCACGCACACCGCGCCGCGACGTTCGGCGCTTTCGATCCAAGAACAGGGAGCGAAGTACATTAAGTCCGATGCTAGCTAAACTTTGTGTCCTCGCTTCATCGTCGAGGGGAACAACCGTCGACTTAAACGTCGCCGTGAGACGATAACTTGCAGTCGTCGGCCGCTCGGCCGCCGTCGTTTCGTTGCTTTCAGCTCGGATCAACGAGCGAGCGCACTCGACAGCGTACAGCTCCGATACGTGCACGAGTAGCGGAATTGCGGGCGATCCGCGTTCGTAGGAGACGGCTGAGCGTCGTGGAATGGCGCGACTGCGTGCCGCTGCCTGCTCGCTCGAGTGTCGCCGCGCGAAAGACCTTGGCCGCGCGGTAAACAAGCGCCGTACACCCGGGTGCCGTTAACTCACGCGAAGTACGTATCGCGTCGAATAAAGGTCTGTTCGGCAATACTCGAGTGGAGATCGAAGTTGGACGCCGATGCAGTGAGAAATGATTCGTCGATCGATGTTGAATCGACGTCAATTTGACGGTATCCGTCGAATCGGCATCGTTTTGACATCGATCGACGAGTCATTTCTCACTGGGGAGTCGAAATGTAATATATATAGTAAATGCACGATATACACGCGAAATGTTCGGTATTTAAAATTCCTTTCGGCGGACGGATAATTGTCGCGCATTTTACGCATCGCCGTGTGACACTCAAGCGCCGTTTGACGATTAACAACGGACGACTGTGAGCATTTTGGAAGTTTAATATATCGAAAGTTTCAGCTGCTATTATTTAAATTTTAAGTTGGATATGCCGCAACTTGTTTCGCATTATGAAATAATCGCGTTCTTTAATTAAGTGTACCAAAAGATTATTATCTCGCATGAAATGATGATTAACAACGGAGGGCTGCGAGCGTTTTAGAAGCTTAACAATGAAAGTTGCAGCTACTGTTACTTGAATTTTTAGCTGAACATGCTACGTAATTCGCTCATATTTCATTATAAATTCATTAATTTCATATTTGAATATATATATACATTCATACACTACTTTGAAACACGAGGTAAGTGAATATAATATTCACTTATCTCGTGCTTCAAAGTAGTACGTGTATTTAAATCTCGGCGTTTAAATATTTAAAGCTCAATATATTCCAATTTAATTATTAAAGAAACGCTCATCGCCGTAATAATCAGAATAACAGTCATTTCTAATTTCCATCCTTCGTTACTTTTAATTCTCACATTGCACACGTAATAATGAAACCGCGTGAAATATTCTTTGATAAATTGCTGCGAGTCTTTTTTGATATAAATAACCATCGCTTCGATACATTCATCAGGTCGTAAATCATGGAGATCAATTAATCAGGCGTGTTGATAATCGCTGCTAATTCGTGAGATGTAATCATGTTTCGAAGGGGTACACACGGCGCAGTTCGCTGCTTTGAAAGTCTAATGACGATATTGTTACCTGAATCCTAAAGCCTAGTGCAGACTGCACGCAGCAAGCGGCAAGCGTCGAGCAGCGAGTATCCAACACTGCTGAATTTTGCGGAAGCGTCAGCAGTGGCGTAGAAAATCTCTTCGTTGATTGGCTGCTGCTCGACGCTTGCTGCTTGCTGCGTGCAGTCTGCACTAGGCTTAATTCGACGAGTATGTGATTTAATTGATGTTACTCGGTTACGTATTAAGGAACGTATATGCATAAACTAAGTACGTTGTATGTCTCGCGCTTTGTTCTCGACGACAAATTCTTTACTCGACATTCGGCGAAAACGCGAAAGATCGTTAATTATCGCTTAACTTTCCAATCTTCAGCATCGTGCATATCTTTAATTAAGTCAGATCTGCATAATTAGTTGGAAATTGAAATTCGATTAAAGTAAATTCCATCTGAGAAATTGGTTGAAGAGTTAACTTCTCGAAACTTAAAGAAGGAAGATGTTTGCGGAAAGGCCTGCCGCTTCGGTCGCTCGTATGTAACTCGAAAATTGCCAACTCGATATTTTCGCCGAGAAAAAATCGGGTCGACGAAAAAATTTGCCGTTGAAATACAAGGTGCGCGGGAGAGGTGAAAACGTAGAGCGTATATTTAAATGAATTCTGTTCGCTGTGCTGCAGGCTCGAATCGGCGACGAGGACCTTGAAGATAAACGCTCCTGAGCAGGTGGTGATCGAGTCCTGGGCGAACGAGATTTCAGCCTCCTGTCTGACGGATTTAAAACTGCAGAGCGTTCACGGGGCCATCCGGCTCGACGCCAAGTCCGTCTACATAAAGGGCTTGAAAACGGCGATTCCGGTGCAAGGGCACTCGTCCAGGGAGCAACAGCAGCAGCAGCAGCAGCAGCAGCAGCAGCAGCAGCAGCAACAGCACTCCGGCAGATCTTCGTCCGCGCATCAGAGCCAGAAGGAGACCACCATCTATCAGTTGTGTGCGTGTGCGAGCGGCAAGCTCTTCCTCGCCAGGCCGGACGGCAGCTGTCAGGCCGACAAATCGATTTGCTAATACAATTACGCGGCTCGACTTTCCGGTGTATCGCGAAAGCGCAGATGATTCGATAGGAATCGCGGGCGAGCTATGTGACTTTGTCAGTGACGTTAGCGATGAAGAGGAAAAAAAGAAAGAGCGAAAAATGCATTGTGATCGGCCATCAGCGCGATCGGGGACGAGGCCTTCATTGGAAACACTGCAAACGATATCAAAAACGAATCCACCGCGCCAAAACGGGCAAGAAAGCCCCCCGGAGTGCAACGTGTCGGCGGAGGAAGAGTTAAAGAGAGAGAAAGAGAACTCGGTAAATAGGTTTGAGGCTAATTAATTATTCCCAGCACGCGCGCTATTTTTCAAGGAACGCGGCGTATGCACGATACGCCTTCAAGTGCCGGGCGCCCTTCGAGAATCTCTGGTTTTACTTAGGGCCTAATCTGACGACCTGACGAGCGGCGTCGCGCCCCCTCCCCCCTCCCCAGTGCATACATGTCAATTAAATGGAATTGCATCGAGCGCTTTTCCTTTTTCCTTCCTTTCCTCCCTCCCGTATTTTACAGTTCAGCGTCAGTCACGGTTAATTGAGTTGTCGTATAAGGGCACAATCGGGCGTTGTTGCGGCTTCAATCCCGCGCTTAAGGCACACGTCAATCTTCCCTAGTCACGGTGCGAGCCAATCTTCGCCCCGTGAAATATCCGACCGATCCAACGGCGGCGGCGGCGACTGCGAGACGCGCGCAAATATAAACGCATCGGGCGTTTCCCTCGCAGCGGGGAACGTACGAGCGTCGCGCGGGTACAAAGGGAATTCTCGCGAGGTCTTGACCGGAAAAATTCTCTCGAATTCGCGGGCATTCGAGGAATTCTCTCTGAGGAATATTCTTCCCCGAGCGGCGTTCACCAAGAGGTCTTCCCTTTAACTTTTTCTCGCGCCAGCGCCCACCGGTCAATGCGATACGCGAGAGGGAAAGCGCGAGATTCTCGCCATCTTGTGTCGCAAAAGGCGTCTCGCGACGCGACATTTCCTCGCCGGGGTGCTCGCCTGCTCCGGCGTTTCCCCGGATCCGGCTCCAACTTGTATACTTCTTCCCTCCCGGCGGGGTGACATTTGTCGGGGGGCCTTGGAGATATCTATCGGGGATCCGAAGGGAATCAGATACGCGTGCTAAAACGTGTATAACTGTGTGTACATAGCACCGTCACCGATGTTACTCCGTGACGCGCGATGCCTGGACCGAATTCTCATCTCACGTTCGTCGTTAGAAGCGATCGCGAGATCCTAAAGGCCTGCGTCCACGATGCTAGAACTTGGTCCAAGTTCTAGTTTCGAGAAATGTGTAGCCAGTCAACTTGCAGCTATTCCATAAAAACTGCAAGTAGGACCAAGTTCTAGCATCGTGGACGCAGGCCTTAGGGCCTGAGCAGAAGATTGTCGTAATCGTTTGCGATTTTATCGTGAGGCTCAAGTCGACGCATAAAGAATCGTCGGATGTCCACAATTCGTTGTGCGTTTACACCGATTCAGGTTTTACGACGGAATCGTAAACGGTTCCGACGATCTTCCTGCACGGGCTCTTAATTTTAAGTTGAGCGCAATTTTTTTTTTAAATAAAAAGGAAAGAGAGATATGAAATTAGGTGGCTGCGTGCTGGACGCGACGTTTACCGCGCGAAACGATTGTCAGACGTGACGCTGGGGACGACGGGCGTGAAGACGGGACGCTTTGTATCGCCGGAACGAAACGCGCTTATCGCCGTCAGACAGTGCCCGATAAAATCGAATCGACGAATCCCCCGAGATCATCCCTCTTTCGTTCACCTGTCCCTTCGGTAGCACGTCCCTCCGTCATCCCCTTTGCGCGTTCGATACTTTATATCCTGTGTACCGGTTGTACGCCTCGCGCGGCGAAAACCACTTGTAGGCAAATCGTTCGTAGCTCTCCACAAGCCCGCGCGCTCTCGCACGGTGCTGATGGCGCGAGGCAACCCTTTCAGGGAGACTATTCCTCGCGAGTCGCTTATTTCTAACGCGGTGTCTGTTTAACCCGTGCTCCGATACAAAGTAGAAGCGTTGTTGTAAGTAGGGCGACGACTGCATCGGGCTGCGCGTGCCGCCGGAAGAGGCGAGAGAAAGAGGGTATATATGTGCGTGTGTGCGTGCGTGCGTGCGTGTGCGTGACAACGTGAGCGACTGCGACGGTAGTTTGACGCAATCGGATCGGATCGCGATCCAGCTTGTACGCTGTACATCGGCCATGTCCATTTATTTATGTATGTGGCAATAAAGTCGTTATTGTTACTATTATTATTAATCATCGCGGCCTATTATTCAACGCTGTTATTATTATTTACATTATTTTATTTGATTACATTGGACGACATTATTGTTACCCCGGAGAGAATCTCAAAATGTTGTATGCAACCATCTTTTTACGAGCCTGGAGCAAAGTCCTATCTTATGAGATAAGCTTCTAATATGAGATGGCAGGTGGTCAACATGAAAATTTAAACACAAATCTTGATTCACAACGATTACGCCATCTAACAATGAATTTTCCACTGAACAGATTTCACTCCAAGGGGAATAAATTCATGATGGAACCAGCAGATGATGTCTGCACTGAGAGAAAAGTCTTTGAAAACCAGCCACAAATAAATTTTCAAAGACTTTTTTCTCAGTGTATTAATTGAGCACAAAACCCTACTATCTCGTATTAGGAGCTTACCCCATAATAGGGGACTTCCTCTATATCATATTTGAGCGTGTACCGAACGTATATTTCGTCCAATGTACATTGGTCCATTAGACTTACCATTCTTTCTTCATTCAGCTGCCGGCGCTACCCCTCTCTCTTCAAGGGCGCAACTTTCAGCGTTACAGGTAGGTTTGTTATTTCCATAACATAAAACACCCACAAATGACCAAATGATATATGCACACGCGTCCGTATTCAATACGCGTTCTACAGTTTCCACCAATTATAACTCGTGTAACTAACAACTGCCGCGAGGGCTTTGTTTCGTTCGACAATAGAGGAAAGTTTTGTAACAAAATTACAATTAAAAATTTAACATCGGCTTCAATTCAAAAATACAAACGGCCCGTCCGATCACGCCTGTTTGTTTGCGAAAAACACACATGCGGGCGCTGTAAAATTTTCAAAGCCGCGTCGTCTCTAAAATTCATCTATCTCACCCTCGCTATTAAAACGCGGTCGTTTCCGCCTCGACGGCGGTGGCGGCGGCGCGGCGGCGGCGGTGGCGGCGGCGGTGCGAAAGGAAAATAGAAATTTAAATTAGAGAATAATCTCAAGACTAGTTCGAACAGCCCGCTGCATAATATACTATATGTCAAGCGGGCTGACAGGTAACAGAGGCAATCTCATCTAGTACCTCCTTAAACAGCTCTGACGGCAAGGTAATTTTCTTGGAATTCGGGATTAAAATTGCATCCAGCGGCGACGGGGAGGTGGATAAAGTGCATAGCCAAGTAGAGAGAGGTATTCTCGGGAAGGGTTCGGGGGCTGGAGCGATTTAACATAGGGATGCCGCGGGCCAATGAGCTGGTGTAAATTAGCAGCGACAGTCGGAAAAAAAATATCCTCGATGTACCGCGTTGATTCCCTTAAAGCGTGCCAAGTGCAAGGAAGAGACGAGGTAAAAGTGGATTGGACGCGATGGAATAATTGAAGAAAACGTAATTGCCTTTGAAAAATTATAATGCAATTACGGACGTCTTCCCGTGCTACTTTATTATTGAATTATTTCGCGTTTTTTTTCCAATTATGAGTAGAAATTTCCGCAAAAGTGATAAATTTAGCTTAATCCATTGTGCGTGACGCGATGAATTTTACGGAAAGTGAAAATTACATGTGTATATGTCGATAAAGAAATGGAAAATTGATGGCGGCTTGAGAGGAGCGTATTATAGACCACTTCGGGCAAGGGAAATATATAATCATTCGAGGAGATCCAAGTGTATCCACTGTATCGTCCAGACGAGAGTTCTTGTTCATTCATTATACAGAAGGTACCTGGGCGAAGTACTTATCTAAGTGACTGCTACCGCTGGTACTCGTAGCATGTACGTACTCGAGGAGCCTGAACGGCGCACGACTCTGCGATACAGGTACACGCCGACCACGCGGCAAGGATGGTGTTAGTGGCGGTGCGCTCCTAGATGCAGGATGGTTTCTGTGAACCGTGAAATTGTTGTGCGGGGCACGAGGCGCGTCCGATAAAGCTTTAAATACGAATTAGTAACACGCGCGGCCGACCGCCGGCGCACGTATATACATACATAAACGCGATCGCATCTCTTGTCGGTTGCAACAATCTGCGGCATTCTGGTGACGACGAACAACGCGGCTCGTAATACTTGGCGCCGCACGATCTTTTTCTCCCAAACGACTGGCGTGGTCGCAATGTCTTTTGTTAATACCATCAAGTATGTATAAGGAGTGCGAATGCAGCCTATCTACACGCATAGACATAGTAAATATAGACTGAGCGTCCCATTGAATAAGCTGATGCTTGTGAAGAGAGAGAGAGGAGACAGAGAAGATTTAAGAAGACTTTCTTTCTCTGTCTCACCATCGTGACAAGGGAGAATCACACCTGTGTAGTACTGCGCAGGCACGATTCTTCTCTTTTACGATGGTTTAAGACAGAGGAAGAAAGTCTTCTCGAATCTCCTCTCTCTCTTTTCACAAGCTTCAGCTTAGTCAATGGGACGCTCAGTCTATATTTACTGTGTCTACGTCTACACGTATAAGGGCCTGGGCAGAAAGATTGTGTCGTAAGACTGAAGTCGGTGTCGGAAGTCAACGCACAAAGAATTGTCGCAAACGTATGTCGCCTTGCGATGCGATGAATGCGACATACGTCTGCGACAATTCCTTGTGCGTTGACTTCCGACACCGACCTGCGTCTTACTGCGGAATCATTTCATCTCATAATTTTTTATCACTTTTCAACAGTATACTTTGACTTCCTTCATATTTTATATTTATATTACATTGAATTTCATAAGAAAAATTACGATTCATTTTGCAATATATTTAATAATTTTTCAACAACTTTCAATTCACTTTTCAGCGTCACTCTCAGCAAAATATTTCCGTCGGGGATTGTGCATAGAAATGAAGCTCTGAGCGTCTATACGTGCAAATTGCAGAATCGTAAACACTCAATCTTTCTGCTCAGGCCCAAATTTGCTTGAAGCTAAGAATGGTGAACAGCAAGGGTTCACTTTTTCGCTACTTGTGGTGTTGTCGTCGTATTGCTTCGGATAGTTGAACGGATTAAAGTGAGAAGGGACATAATAGTGCAAGCGAGAACAAAGATATAAACCTCAAAGCAATGCGATTGCCGCGACCCCTAAATTCCCACATTTTTGGGGCCTTCTTGAAAGGCTGTGTTCGTGAGTTCATACTCCTTACATACTTTATAGTTAATACGCGAATATAAACTAATGTCGCGGCAAGATAGCTGTTCTCGTATCATGTGCAGGCGGCACCGAGAAGACACTCGCGTGGAGATCGATCGATCGCGATCCATCAATTTCCATTATGCCCAGTCCGGGCTTATTATGTCGCATCTCAACAGCATACAGATCCGTGTCGGGTCAAATGTAATAAACTCGCGTGCGCGCGATTCCGAAGCGGAGGTATGTACGTAACGTCGGCGGCCGTAAATCTAATGATTTACACCGGCGGGAGGAAGACAAACGAATGGATCCACCTCGCGCAGGTATACGGACTTACGGCGCGACTTGAAGTAAACATTCATGAATCTTCACGGGAATAACTCCGATGGCGTCTGCTTCGACAAGTCCAATCTCCGTGAGCGCGCGTTAATCCCTTTGCAAGTCGCTCGATCGAGCCATCGCGCAAATTATGTTTCTCTCCGCCAATTAAGTTTGCCTCTCACCCTTCATCTTTAAATCCGCCTTCGTTCCCGTACGCATCCATTTTTTATGTCGCTCTTTGAGCGTGAACAACTCTGTAAAGGGTGCACAACCGTTTGCAAATAATTCGATTCGCAGTAAGAGTTTATTATTGGCAATTTTATAAATACGAGTGCGCAAATTTAGCAAGTGTTCGTAGTGTTGGTTGGCGCATTGACAATAAAAATATATTTTACATTATGTTTTTATCGGTTTAAATAATTAATCCATTATTATCTCTCAATTGAGACCGCAAATAACGAATAATTTAATAATGTAATGAATAATATATTCACCATTTATTAATAATATCTCGTACATTTTTAATGTACATTTTAATGCTTGACGTACGTTAGAAATAG